AAAGTATATATCTTACAATACTATATAATATATTCAATGTTGTCTATATTATTAATCAGTTTAATTAATACTTCTTTCCACTGAGCAAGAGCAATTGAAACGTTTCGAAATAAATAAAGTTAGTACGAAGAATAGTACATATTTAAAATAATAAAATATCTTTTTTATATAAGTTACTACTTCAGATTTGTTTATTAAATTGGCTATGGATTCTCCTACAGTTGATGTTCAATTTCCTGATCGAAAACTTGATACAATATGTTTATTTGATGTTGATGGAACAATAACAATGCCAAGACAAGTACGGACTACTAAAATTTACTGTGATATTTGCTCTCTGTATTATCGTTTTAACATTTTATTTTACAGTTAATCACACAAGAAATGGACGATTGTTTACAAGCAATTCGAAAAAAGTGTTTAGTTGGACTAGTTGGTGGATCAGACATCGTCAAAATAGCTGAACAAATTGGAGGAATTAGTGGTAAGTGTCAGTCTGTTGAGTTTTGTCGTTTCATTATAGTTTTACACGACGTGTAAGAATGGGCTTGATGAAATTAATTCAGTTCATTGTGGATGCATTTTTTAGTACAGAAAGGACAATGAATTTTTTTCTTTTGAAATATTCTAAACCGACATAGGTTTGACTTTAATAGTTTATAGATATGTATTTTTTTCTCTGATAGCGATCTCAAAGTACGATTATGTATTTGCTGAAAATGGCCTTGTAGCTTATAAACATGGAAAATTATTTTACGAAGGAGTAATTATTTTAACTATTTCAACTTTTATCAATTTTGTCATGTTTTTCTCTATTTTTCATAGAGTATTCAAGCGTATGTTGGTGAAGATAATTTACAAACATTTATTAATTACTGTTTGCGTTATTTGTCTGATATAACCTTACCATTTAAACGGTATGTCTTAGTAAAAGAGAAAGAAAATAATCCGTAGTAATTTAAATTGTATTAATATTTGAAGATTTATCAAGTAATATGCTAAAATAAATATTTCAACTATCGATGGTTCTATTTTTAGTGGAACATTTATTGAATTTCGTAACGGACTTATTAATGTGTCACCAGTGGGAAGAAACTGTTCTGCAAAAGAACGCGATGCATTTACCCAATATGATTTGGTAAGTTAATCTTATGTATCATATTTTTATTTGTTCTAATGGTTTTATTGTTATTTCCATTTTAGGCAAATAATGTTCGCGGTGACATGGTAAAACATTTGAAAGAAAAATTCTCACATATGGGTCTTGTATTTGCAATTGGTGGCCAAATTAGTATTGATGTATTTCCAGATGGATGGGATAAACGATTTGCATTAAAACATCTAGAAAAGGATAATGTTAAAACAATATATTTTTTTGGAGATAAAACTTTTAAAGTAGGTGACAAAGTACAAGAGCTCTGTCTGTCAGAAAGAAAGGATGCAACTTTGAGCTCAAATTTTCGCTAGTCCCTTTGGATTTCTGTTATTATTTAGGGTGGTAATGATTATGAAATATTTCATGATGAACGAACACAAGGTTATACTGTGACGAGTCCCGTAGATACCCGTGCACATTTATGGGAGTTGTTTGGTAATGAAGCAAAGCAGTGAATGATGACTTTGAATGATGTGATGACTTGTGAATGATGAGGATTTTTTATACATTCCGTACTTTCATATTATTTTTTGTTTCTGATACGTATATAGAATCTCTATTTTATCTTGGTTATTTTCTGTTGTTATTATTGTTATGCATTAGTAAGGTGATTAGAAACGGTGAAAACTTAAATTAAAACCAATAAACATTCTTAAGTATTTATTTACTTGGTCTTTATTTATCAACTCAGAGGTTCGTCATGCTCTCAAAACGGATTAAAGTTTAGTTCTAAACGTAAAGATTTGTTTAAGGTTTCTCCGTTAATCCTTAATTCTCTTGGAATGTAAGAATTTGGTTGATAAAAGACCTTCGTCCATGTGACGAGTGTACGTTTTTTAGAAAAAAGTATGGTAACTTAAGTTCCCGTGGATGGTACGAAAACTCACCTAAGATGACGAAAGTTCCTTTGAGTGTGACCAAAATGCCATTTTTAACGATTCTCACTGAACTTTCGTCCGACATCGTAACCTGAAAATAAAGCGTTGCATGGTATGGGAATTTTCGTCACATATTTATATGTGACGAAAATTCACTACTGAGAAACATTCGCCTCATGAAACAAAAGTTTTACTGTGTCTGTCGAAATTCAAACTTTGATGACGTCAGCTGCTGTAGAGTATCCGCCCCCAGAAACTTTCGTCAGCACGACGAAAGTATGTTCGTCGTAATGACGATAGGGTGTTGTGACGAAAGTGCGATAATTCGTTTAGTTTGAGCAATATCATGCACTCTTGATTTCCTTTTAACTTTGCTTTCCGTATTTTCGTCATTACTTGTTTTTTCTTACGCAGCTCCTGCTTTAATCAATATCAAGATCATCAGTTATTTTTCTTATTTTGTCACGACATATGTCTGTTTTTTTTAATCGTATATTTTATCTGGTTGATCAGATGTAAATAGCGATTTCTACGTCTAACAGCAAATCACATTCTGTTTTATTTGTAGAAGCTAGTTTACCCTTGAATTGAGTTTATGAGTTGAAGTTTATAGACTTAGAAGTTTATAGATTACATTCTTCTGTAATCACCTTATCTCTGAATCATCATCCAAGGAAGTTGTTGCTTCGTTCCGTTTGTCTTCGTTTCAGTCCATTTGAGTTTAACTAGTAAAAATCTTCTTTGTCACTGTCTTCTATACTTTTCACCATAAATTTTCATTGAATCGCATTTTTTCATCGAAACTTAAGTTGTATTTGTGCCGTATTATCTGATATAAAATAATTGAAATTTTATGCAATAATCTTGGACAAATTTTTGTTCACGTGCTTAGGACCATCCGCCTACTAGCATATTCTCTGTGTTATGACGTACAACACATTTTTTCTGATCAGTTTTCATGGGTTTTTCGGAAAGTTAGCATGTGATCAATGAGTGTATATGTATAACCGTGTAGTTACTCAAGCAGTTGAGCGAAAGAACTCTGCGTCAGCCTTTCCTGCTTGTGAGAACAGCAGTTGAGGGCCCGTACCCATGTAGGTCAGAAATTTGGCACCTGTAGGGCGGACATCGAGCTAATGATATTGATGCAATCAGCACTCTGAACCGATAACGGTAACCACACGACAGTATACTTTTTCTTCTATGCATTTCATATGTGTAGTGACTTATCTCTTCATTATTATCTTGACATAAAAGTATTTTAATACCGTCTACAGAATGAAATAAGCCTAGTCTATGATCCGTTTTTGTTCGAACTACATGCGATGGCTCTCCATAAATTGACCGAAAACGTTTTTGAATACAAATTCATAATGATCAAATGTCTCTTTGTAATGAATCAAATTTAAACAAGAAAAGATTGTATTCTGAAATGGTGCTTATTTAATTTCAGATATTGCTAAAATATGTCGTTGGCTGATGAGTTAATAGCTGATCTCGAAGATGATCCAATTAATGAAAATAGACAAACAATATCAACAAATGGAAACGTTGAAGAGATGGATATTGGAGAGAATGTGCACGCAGGTATAATAAAACTCGTCAAAGCATTTTTTTCTTGCATGTCTTAATTTGTAGTATCAAACAATCAACATAGAGTGGGTACCATTGTAGTTTTTGTTTTCTAGCGCACAATAGCGTTCATTCTGTGGCAAAATTAAAAGATTCATTTCTATTAACGGACACAATGTCAAAAATAAATTTTTACCAAAATAATGTTCGTAAATCGGGTGAAGTATGTGGTCCTGTTGAACAAGATCCCGAATATCTATTAATTGTTGATGCTAATAATTTATTGGTAGAAATTGATAATGAAATAAATGTTATACATAAATTTGCCCGAGATATTTATCATAAACGTTTTCCCGAATTAGAACAACTAGTACAACAACCAATGGATTATCTAAGAACAGTTAAAGTAAGTAAATTAACTAATTACTTTTAGATAGTATGACATCTATGTATGTGTTGTAGGAACTTGGTAATCATGTTGAAAAAGCAAAACATAATGAACATTTACCAAACTATTTGACACCTGCAACAATTATGATTGTTAGTGTATCAGCATCAACAACACAAGGGTAAAAGATTGAAATATCTATACATCATTCTGTCACCTCACTTATTGCATTGTTCATTTTTTAGAGCCGATTTGACGAAAGATGAGCTTGATCGCGTCACGGAAGCATGTGATATTGTAAGTAATATCATAGAAGTTTGTAGATAGCTAATAGTATACATTCTCTTGTGTTTTAGGCGATAAAACTAGATGAACATAAAGCAACTATATTAAAATATGTTGAATCAAGAATGACATTTATTGCACCCAATTTATCATTAATTGTAGGAGCATCAACCGCTGCAAAACTAATGGGTAAATTGGAAGATAGTCTGGCTAGATACATATCATCCAGAACTTGTATTTTAGGTATTGCTGGTGGCTTAACAAATTTAACAAAAATGCCATCGTGCAATATTCTGTTATTGGGTTCACACAAAAAATCATTGGGAGGTTTTTCATCAACACAACAGTTACCGCATGCTGGATGCATTTATTATTCAGATATTGTACAAAATTGTCCAGCTGTATGTATGATCAATGTGGCCTTACAATCGCTATTATTAAATGTCTTTTTTTAGGATTTACGTGCAAAAGTAGCGCGATTAGTTGCCGGTAAAGTGACATTGGCAGCACGCGTCGACAGTTTTCATGAAAGTGCAGATGGAAAAGTATATCTTTGCTCATTTTTGATCATTTCATATGCTAAAGTATAGTTATCTATTTTTGTTAGGTTGGCGATTTTTATCGTTCAGATATTGAACGTCGTTTAGAAAAATTACAAGAACCACCACCAGTAAAAGCTGTCAAACCTTTGCCACCACCTATTGATCCGGGACGAAAGAAACGTGGTGGTAGACGAGCAAGAAAAATGAAAGAACGATTAGGCATGACTGATTTAAGACGACAAGGCAATCGTATGATATTCGGAGAAGTAGGAAAAATAATAAATAATAAGAAAATGGCACTTCATTTGTTTGTATTTATTTTGTATTTAGATTGATGAAGATGCGTATCAAGATGCCGTTGGATTTTCATTTGGCACAATTGGAAAATCTGGTTCTGGTCGTATTCGTGCTCCCCAAGTCGATTCAAAAACCAAAGCAAGAATTTCACAAAAACTTCATGTAAGATAATAATAAGGACGATAAGTCAAAGATAATATATATTGTTAATGTTTTTAGAAAACTCTTCAACGTCAAAATAACACTTTTGGCGGTATGACAACGGTTAAAAAACATGTATCTGGTACAGCAAGTAGTGTGGCATTTACACCGTTACAAGTATGTCATCATCTAATGTTCTTTATATTTGTTTATTGTTATTTGTTTTCTTTTAGGGTCTTGAAATTGTGAATCCAAATGCAGCCGATAAAGATAAAACTGGTATTGAAAGTCAAAAATATTTTTCAAATGCATTTGGTTTTACAAAAATTTCACCATCCGTCATACCAAAGACAACTTAACGTGTTTTATTTCTTTTGTAGTACTGTGTAAATAAAAAGAGGACGTTAATAGTCGATTTGTTGTTCTGCATTTTCTTTGTTGTTAAGAAATAAAAATCCTATTAAGTAATACATGAAACGTATTAATAGCGTGATTATAAGTTTGAAATTATGTTTGTTCAATGTGGAAAACAAATTTTTGACCATATTTTTTCGGACAAAATTGAATTGAGTTCTATCTGTTTCTAATCATGACATGTAATCTCGGATTTTCGAATGGTATAGAAGTATAACTGTCCAAGTGTATTTCTCTATTTCATCTTTCATTAAGATATAAAGAAACCATTAAAACACATCGTAAAACCGAGACTTTCCGCTGCAAGATATTAGTTTAATCTATATTTATTAGTCAGCTGAAAGAAGCATCACAGATAGTCAAGAATCGCAAAGCATTGTACTTGGCTATCTGAAGAAACGCAACATAGACAAATGGAAACAGCCACAAAGTAAAAAGCTATCTTTTTAAAAAAATAAAAGGAAAAATAAGAAGAAAAGAGACGAGATAGAAAAGAAAAGAGTGGAAGAAGTAGGAAATATGCACAGTAAGTTAGCTGTTAAAGCATTTTGAGTGTTCAATAAAGGACCCCGCCGGATAAGATCGTAAATCTGGCTCCCTCTCAACCTTGTCTCAAACGTATACCAGAAGAAAGCTTACATCTTTTTACATGCTTCCATGTATTCTTTTTCGCTTTGACTTGAATAGAAAAAAAATTCCTGAAGTCATTGTCATTTGTGGTCAGAGATACATTTTCGCCTATATAGCCATACATTGCGCCCTTCAGACTTTTTACATCAAACACTTCTTTCTAAGTTTTTACAATAGGAACAGGTGCATCTTGCTTCGCTCTTTAAAATGCATATCGATGATCGATACTCATCGTCTTTCTTCTAAAGAGATATAGGATTTTCCAACTCCATTGGCATCAGTTTTTTATATAAACCCTCAGACATGGTTCCAGTGCAATACCTCTTTCTCTCACATACCGCAATGAACAAGACTTAAACGTTCTCAGAAACTGCGCTGTCACTCCCTCTATAAAATGCACTAGTTTCGATTAAAAAAAAGTGGGCCAAAGTGGTCATCGACCTAATGACATTCTCGAGAGGCACCATTCTGAAGGTGTCTGTATAAAGTTTTTGTAAATGGTTTCAGAAACAAGTTACTTCAAAACCAAAGTTTAACATAAGATTTATGCTCAGCTCTAAAATATGAGATGAATAGACTGTATTTAAGATTCTGAGAGAGTCTTATGGGTACGATTCTGAGACATACCCGAGGTTCGAATGGCGAGAGTGGTTTCACCTTTCAGATCGTCTGTTTGTGTTTAATTGAATTAGATTCATGTGTGACAAAATGGAATGATTATTTAAAATTTTGTAGAAACAAAGTAAACGGAAGTATTTTCTTCTTTTATATAAATCAGATAAATTAAGTTTTAGCAATAGCACAAGCACAGGTCCATCAAATTTTTTAAATATGATTCTGACGGCTAATTTAATTACGGAATCAATACGCGAATTTTAGTGGGAAATTTACTATCGTAAACAATTGAGCAGTAGCCTAATTTACTCAAACTGCAAGCCGTGAATATTGATAGACGACTAAGAGAAGGTGCAACCTTAAAACACCGATATAAGACTCCCAATCCTCTACGACATGCAAGTACAAGATCGTCAATATAATCACCCCAATGTAAATTTGAAGATAAACAAAGGCCAAGAAGTATAATTCATAATTCTTTTTTAATTAATGAGCCGTCTATGAAAATGGTGAAAGAATACGCTTTGTTTTGAGGTCTGTGCAAAAAAGGTAATCATGAACATTTACTATAATTTAATGACATAAGGTGTGACTGAAACCGTACATTTATACGATCAATATTTGCCTGACAGACTGAAACTGGATATAGAGCAGAAGGGGGACTTAACAAAGAACAGTCATCGGCAAATAAGTCGGATGATGCAGGCGGTACAATAGCAGCTGGCAAGTCGTTTATGAAAATTAAGAAAAGAAGTGACGAAAGTTCTTGAGACACCGAGATGTATCAGAATGAAAAACTTATTTTTTTTAGGAGATTCAGCAGCGTAGAAAGCGGAAGGCTTGACAAAAACTTCTCGATTATATCTCGAGTTAGTTCTAAAAAATGTTCAGTTGTTGTTAGTTTTAAAAAATATTTTGCACAGCACTGTTGACGGGCAGACCAAAAGCTGTGTTGATACATCTCGTAAAATCTTTTACTTACGTAGTTGGTGACCCTACGTTGCGTTCCAATGTAATGAATTGATATTTTTAGGGCAGAATGCTGATTTCTTCAAAGGATTTAAGCGATTTATATATTTAAAATAATAATTTATGAATTGACTTCTCCGCATATATATTAGCTGTTTTGATTTAACACGATTTTGTGCTTCTGTTTTTCTTGTATGGTCTTTACATGGCTTACTACGTTTGCTTTTTCTGTCCACAGTGAAAAAAACTTAACATATACAATGAAAAATTCTTATCTAGTGCATTCTAGCTCATATAAAAACTTGATATAATTAGTCTTAGAAACAATGATGTGCTTGTAATGTGAATATACTTCTCTCAATATTCAATTAATGGAAAAAAGATTTTCATGTGTAGTAGCAAAGGCGTATCGTCTATGTTCTGCTGCAAAGTAGTGGTGACTGAATCCTAAATCGTCTCACATCTAAAACTCATAGCGTCCAACTTCTGTAATGTACAAAAGTTCCACTTTCGAATCTTAACAGGAACTACTAGGGGTGGGACAGTTCCAGTTCCTATAATTCCTAAGAACTGGTCGAAAGGACTGGTTACCAGTTCAGTTCTTGTTGAACGGGAACTGGTATCAGTTGTTTTCAAAAGAATCGATATAGCTGGTTATGTTGACTCGGGTTAGTCAACTAAACGCACCATCTACCTCTGGCGCACTAGACAAAGTCAATGTAACTAGGTTCACCGTTTTCTTTTAAATTTTTTGAAAAGAACTAGTACCAGTTCCCATTCTTTGGAAAAGAACTGATAAGCAGTTTGCGTTTTTCTGAGAAGAACTGGTTACCTGTTCAGTTCTTTTGAACGCGAACTGGTACCAGTTCCCGTTCAAAAGAACTGAATTGGAACTGGCCCACCCCTAGGAACTGCTACCTGTTTCTTCCCAAAGTGCAGTTCTTCAAACGTTAACTGTAACTCTCTCGCTGTAGCTCAAATTGGCATGATAGAAAAAAAAATTTCAAAGATATATCAGTTCATTTTTTTTAATTTGAGGCTTGTACCTCAAATGTACCGCGCCGTAGACGCCGCTGTGGTATTGATATTAATTAGTTTTATCAATAATATCAGGTAGAAGTTCAATTTGTTTTTGCTAAATGTACGGCTGTAACAAAGGAAAAAATCAAAAGATGCTTCCTGTAAAACGTTACACGATAGAAAACATAGACCACTAAACATATATGTAGGAAATAAGAGTAGTTTAAGAATCAACAAAAAACTATCTTCAAACGCGAAGATAGAGTCACAGTGTCAAAATATACAAAAACAAACAAAACAGAAGCAGAAAATTGAGTCAGTTATATTGTAATATTTTGGTTTAGTATTTTTTAAGTAAAGGCATAGTTTTTGAGAGAACGAGTGTACACTGGCAGAGTAGCAGAATGAGCGATATATTATGGGGGCTTGTTCCATTCTTTTAGTGTTTGAACGAGTAGCGAAACACTAAAGGAAATTTTCCAGGCGGGAATTACTTTTAACTGGACACTGGATTTTGTTGTCGATGAACGTTTGGTTTCTGATGCTGAGATAAGATTGAAACGTGAGAGCACTGTTTTATTATTTTTTATTTTCCATAAATAGTGTAAACAAAGCAATTTTTCTTCTCTGAGAACGAGAGTCAAAATCGAGCCCAACCTCAAGAAATGACGACTTAAAATAAAAATGTTTTGCAATTACTCGCGCCATAACACGTTGAACATAGTTTAAATGTTTTGAATGTGTTTTAAATGAACTGTGAAAAACTATAGAGGCATACTCCAACACAGAGCGAACACAAATTAGATAAAAATGTTTTCTTATTTTTCGAAAAAGCTAATTTGTAACTCGATGGATGATCATAAAAATAAATTTTTCTTCAATAGTTTCGATCCTATTTCACCTGCTTTATAAAAAATGTTGAAGTAATCTAACAGTCCAAGCTCATAGCGTGATAGACTAATGGTGCATTATGACATAGTGAGCTTGGATTTGAAGGGTGCAGAGGGAAATTCATTGTTGAATAAAAATAATTTGGTCTATGATCTCATCGTTTTCCTGTATCTGCAATTTTCGTCATAAGCAGAGATAGATTAGAATGCAAATTTTCTATTGCATCCTTTTGAGATATCGCTCGCGAGACAATACTACTGGACGATTCAACATAATTTGAAAAGTTTTACTCCATTGATAACGTATAACAGAAATCGATCAATTGTTATATTGAAATTTCAATCTGAAATACAAACTTGATGCTTATGAAAAAAAGAACTATCGCACAATATTCATGTGCACGTATTAAATTCTTTGCTAACAGGTATTTTTATTTTCAATTTTCTCCTTTCTCCGATTGATACATGCTTTTTTTGTACCATTTTCTTATCCTTCTATGATCAATATTTTGTGCAAGTTTGCATCATATCTGACTTATATAGGCAGTTTTACGCTAATTGGGATCTCTATATTTAATCACTGTAGTACACGTTTCGAAACTTTGTTGCCGCTCGACACATTTTTTAGGCTAGCGTGAAATGTTTGTGTTGTATAAAAAGGATTTCTGTTTGATGTCTAAGATGTTACTTAAACGTATCGGAAAATATGACGATACCGTTGAAACATATTATTACTCACGATGAAACCTCTCGAGATGCCCCTTCCGATTCCAATGATTTATACATGGATCAATAGACCATGATGAGGTAGTAAGAAGCCT